CTCTCCACATAGCTTTAAAGTTCTCATAGCATGACTGACAAAATGTTACAGCAAGTAGACCCACATTTTTTATTCTTATTACAAGGGACATCCAATCAACAAGTAGGATATTTTAAAGTTGAAAAAACATTTGAAATGTTTAACTATAATGATCACATTTATCCCATTTCCTCGAAAGGGAATGCATAAGGTGGCTATAGATGGCAACCCCGAGAATGACATAGCACATAGCACACATAGCTGGGACCCACTGTGATCTTCCTGGCTTGGATGGAAGAATGCAGGGCATATTCCACGAATGCTTTGCTCCCTTTTCTTCCCAGAGGACGGAAGGGTTGATGACTGTTGGTGTTGAGTTTTTCCAACATGTAGAAAAATCTTTGCATATGATTTTGTGTGGAAATGCCCATTATCATTTTTTGCTGGTCACTGTTTTTACTGATGTGCCTCTTAACAATTTCAGTCAATTCACTAGCACAGCTCCTTCCTCCTTGAATGTCATAACCTTCTCTTCTTTTGGGAAGGTTCAATTAATGGCTATGCTGGCCCACCTCCTCCACCCCTTTCCTCCATTCATTACCTTTTATGTATCAGCTGGGGGAAGAGTGATGGGGAATACTATATCTCAGAGTCTGCTGGACGACATCAAAACCAAGATGGCAGTTTTTGTGGGTTTTGGATGTGTACACAAGAGTATCCTATAATGTATAATCACTGGGTGTGTTCCTATGATTGAATTTTCTAATCTATACTAGACACATACCATAACATGACTGTGCCTGGTGGCATTGGGAAACACAGACCTTTCATTTCCCCCAGTCTGCAGAAAACACCAATATCTGTATATTTTCAGACAGATTGGCTTTCTCTTATCCAATATTTGTGTTTGGGACTAAGCACACTCCTGATGTATGCTTTAATACAAGTCAGAGTCTATACTAACAAGAAAATGATTTTCAGGAAGCAGACACAGTCTTCTGAACCTCATTAACATCTGTATGCTCTAATTAAGTCCCAGAAGATTTTGATCTTTGCACTGGCACATATATAACTCAGCCCTGCGGCTGCATCAGAGGTAATTATCACAGCTCAAAGCAAACTAAAACACAGCAAAAAAAATTGTAGTCCTGATTGAAACAGCTGGAAATGAAAGAGATTCATGAACGCAAGTTGATGAAGACTTTAATCCTCTCTAAACTATAAGATAATGCAGCTGTAACCCCCGGTATAAATGGCAGAGATGAATGAAGGTTGAATGAACATAAAAGTGATACATCCATTTAGGTGGAAACTAGTGTGCTCTACCACCTAATGCCTTATGCTTTTTAGCTGGCCATACTGTGCATTATTTTTTTTTTTGTTCAACCAGTCGATTGATAAAAAAAAAAAAAAAAGAAAAAATGCAGATTCCCCTATCAACAGATAACAGTCCATATTGCCATCGCACACGTTCCTGGAACGAGCTTGCAAAAGTGCTGGGTGCTGCAACGACCACCAGCTGGATCATGGAGCATGCATGACGTAATGTAAATATTCGCCTGCACACCATGGATCTTCATAATAAAATCAGAACGTTTTTATATTAAAGATAAATAACACCACGCAGGGCCCCGAAACGTTGCACTTCTCTGTTTGTGATGTGATCTTACTTCAATAACAAAAAGTTCTAACTTATTTTGAAAATCTGTAGTGTGCTGGCTAATATTTACTTTGTGATTCCCCCATCAACACATTCTAATCCTCCCAGTAGCACTATTTGTTTTATTATAGGTATTTATATAGTGCCATCAGTTTGTGCAGTGCTTTACATACATATTGTACATTCACATCAGTCCCTAATCCTCAAGGGGCGTACAATCTAAAGTCCCTAACTTACATTCATACATACAGTTGTGTTCAAAATAATAGCAGTGTGTTGAAAAAAGTGAATAAAGCTCAAAATCCTTCTAATAGCTTTTATTTCCATACACACAAATGCATTGGGAACACTACACATTCTATTCCAAATCAAAATATGAAGAAAAATATATCAAATTTGTGTTGTTCCTCTAAAAAAAAAAAATGAAGAAAAGTGAATATTAGACTGTTCAAAAAAATTGTAGTGTTTGTATTCTTCTTTACAAACTCAAACATTCACTATATACACTGAAAAATGTTTGAAGATTTTGCTTTCCTTTGAATCACTTAATATTTAGTTGTATAAGCACTGTTTCTGAGAACTGCTGTACATCTGTGTTGCATGGAGTCAACCAACTTCTGGCACCTGTGAACAGGTATTCCAGCCCAGGATGATTGGACTACATTCCACAGTTCTTCTCTATTTCTTGGTTTTGCCTCAGAAACTGCATTTTTGATGTCACCCCACAAGTTTTCTATTGGATTAAGATCCGGGGATTGGGCTGGCCACTCCATAACGTCAAGCTTATTGGTCTGGAACCAAGATGTTGCACGTTTTACTGGGGTGTTTGGGGTCGTTGTCTTGTTGGAACACCCATTTCAAGGGCATTTCCTCTTCAGCAAAAGGCAGCATGACCTCTTCATGTATTCTGATGTATTCAAACTGATCCATGATCCCTGGTATGCGATAAATAGGCCCAACACCGTAGTATGAGAAACATTCCCATATCATGATGCTTGCACAACCATGCTTCACTGTCTTCACAGTGTACTGTGGCTTGAATTCAGTGTTTGGGGGGTCGTCTGACAAACTGTCTCCGGCCACTAGACCCAAAAAGAACAATCTTACTTTCATCAGTCCACAAAATGTTCTCTTTAGGCCAGTCAATGTGCTCTTTGGCAAATTGTAACCTCTTTAGCTTTTTTCCACGTCTTTCAGGTTTTGGTTGCCATTTTAAAGCATTTGCGATCATTTTAGCTGAGCAGCCTATCATTTTCTGCACTTCTTTATATGTTTTCCCCTCTCCAATCAACTTTTTAATCAAGGTATGCTGTTCTTCTGAACAATGTCTGAAGCGACCCATTTTCCTCAGAATTTCAGAGAGAAATGCACTGTAACCAGCATGTACAACATTTGCTGCCTTCCTTCCTTAAATAAGGGCAATAATTGACCTGTTTTTGAAAGAATGAATGACCTCACTAATAGAACTCCACACTGCTATTATTTTGAACATGCCCCTTTCAATTAGTGATTCAATTACACAGAATCAGCAGCATGCATGTCATGACTGTTGGGTCTGTTGGATTTTATTACTCTACTACACCTGCTAGTAAATTATTTGCCATGTAGAAATATAATTTCTACCAAAAACAATGATTGATCAGGTTAGTGATGTCTGACTGCTATTATTTTGAACACAACTGTACATGTACTAGGGACAATTTAGATAGTTGATCAAGTGACTGACTCCTCTTAAACGGGACTGTTGGTATACTTTTGGTTCATCTGCGTTTGCAGCCAATCAGCTGCAGCGCTGAATAGTGTATTCTGCCAGAGAAGTCTCTATGCCAGAGTAGAATAGCACAGGGATCCCCCCCATATTGCAGCTTACGTGTTCTTAACATAGCTGCCCTAGTTTCCTTTTTCCCTTTATTTTCACCTGGTGATCCAGAAAGAAAGTCTATTTTCAGCTTCTTAAACAAATCAAGCTGTCCAGCAAAATGGGCAGTTTGAGGGTTAAGGCAAACCATTTACCACTGAGAGGGGTGCTTACAATTATCAACTTTTATTTATTTATAGAACACCTTTATTCCAAAAGGAACAAATCTGTTGTAACTGCTTAAGAAGTGTTAACTGAAATTAAACTCTAATTTGTTAGGTTCATCTAAATATGCTAGTGCCTCCAATACTACTTTCTCCCCAAATTGACAATGCTGCTGTCCAAAGGTGTCTCTGTTGCTCCTTCATCCAGAGTGGAGACACCCAAAGACTTGAACCAAACCACCAGGTGAAAATAAAGGGGGAAAAAAAAAAAGACTAAAAAGAAAATGAATACAGATGCTACATTTAAAGTGGTTCTAAAGGCTTACAGTTTTTACCTTCCTGCAAAAAACATTGTGTGTGCATATTTCCGCTCATCGCCACGCCCCCCCCCCCCTCCCGAATATATACCTGAGCATGATCCGCAATCCAGTGCTGTGCATAAGAAAAGCAGCTCTTCCCACTCTCTCCCTCCTCACTGGTGGAGACACACCAGCAGCAGCCATTGTCTCCCGCTGCTGTCAATCACAGCCAGGGAGGAGGAAGTGTGGGGTGGGGCTGAACCACGCTCTGTGCGTCTTATAGACACACAGAGGCAGACTGGGAGTGAGCACATACTCAGCAGGGGGGGGGAGAGGCTAGGAGTGTCGGCGGGGAACCCGAGAAGAGGGGGATTGGGGCTGATCTGTGCAAAACCATTGCACAGAGCAGGTAGGTATGACATGATTGTTATTTGTTAAAAAAAATAATAATAGGAACGTTTAGCATCACTTTGAGGATTGGTTAGCTGCAACACATTAATTTTTGTTTTGGGGTTTATTGCTGCTTTACATCTGAAGACTGGCATATGCACCTCAACATGAAACATACTATGGAAACACAGTCAGAAGATTGTTTAATCTGCTGCTATCAACTCAAACTTGTATGAAATGGGGATCCAAATTCAGTTTGGAGCACAGTACAAGTGTCTCTTGTTCCTTTATATTTTTCAAAACAAAGTTAATATTTGTTTATGAAAAAAAAAAAAAAAAAAAAACTTTCAGCAACAAGAATCCACCAAGGAAAGACTGAAAGGCGCATAGAGGCACTGGGCCACCTGCTGAGCAGCGGTAAGCTGTTTACATAAACAAATTCTGCAACTGGAATCTGTGTGCATAAATAATACATTTATTTATCTGCTTATAAAAGATGATTTTTCTGAACAGAATATAACAACATTCTGAATGCAGGAGCTATAATTGCTACCAACAAGACCCAATAGGAGCCTACTTTTCTGAGCCTAATCAACAAACACCAGCAATTAGCCACTGATTGCTCACCATGCATTAAAAACGTATATTACCGTGTGCAGATCTGTTGATAGTGTCTCAATAGAGGGCTTGAGGCTTTCAACAGCTTTCAGTCCATCTTGAAAAAAGCTAGAAAGGAAAAGAGAGACCTGTTAGGTGAGGTTAGAACCAGCAAAACTGATGAGATCTGGAATGTATCAACATAAATTATGGAGCAACCAATATTAAACAATAACAAATGATCCTGAAAGCAATTTCGGAACTGTGGCAGTTCAGGTACAAACACCATTAGAGCAAACTGAATGTCAGCCTCTCATTAAAGGGGGCCATCTGAAAGAAGGATTTAGAGTAAAACTCCATGTTATTCACTTCTAGACGTGCTTAAGGTGAACCTGTGATATTAGACTAACAGAAATTTCAATGTATTTAGCGGGGCCTCTAAAAAGAGCCCCACCACACTAGAACATACACACTTATGGGGAAAAAAATATATATAATAATAAAATAGAAAAAATGATTTCAGTTTGTTTTTCAACTGAGTTGTACAGTTTATAGGTCACATTAAAGGTGGAAAAAGTTCTGAATTGATTTATCTTTATCTAATTTTTTTTACATTACAGAATCCTGACATTTTAACAGGGGTGTGTAGACTTTCTATATCCACTGTACAAAAGTCACTTTTGACAAGTTTACCCGACGCCATGAGAAAAAAATGTGACAGGGAAGGAGTTCCAGCAGACTGACAGCCTCAGCTCTGTTCCTGTGTTAAGTGGGGTGTGTTCCTTCCCTCCTATGAGCGCTCACTGCCCTCTGCATAGTGTAACATGAGCTCCCCACCTGCTGCTTTCTGGGTGCTCAAACAAGCTGTATAAATTCTGGACTTTAAACAGATGTAGTGAAGATATGGGTGCAGATAAACAGGTACAACCTATGTAGGAGGATTTGTTTAATCTCTGTAAATCACCTGAATCCAGTCACTTCACTGGGTAGATGTAAGGGTTTACAACCACTTTAATATAACTCCCAACTGTTCGTCACTTAGAGGGAGTGTCCCTCTTTCGTATGCAAAGCCCTCTGTCCCACTTTCCTTTTTTTAGATGTGTAGACTTTAAAAAGAAAAAGAAAAATTTAAAATAATACTTGCTTATCCAGGCTCTAAATAATTGCATCTGTTATTTTGGAAACCCAGTGTAAAGGAGTAGGGAATAAAAGCACTTGCATATTTAATCAACCACTTTTGCATATTAATTCTCAGTGGTCCATGTAGCGGGGGAAGGGTGTGCTCTTTGCCAACATACTTTGTACTAAATGGTATTCTTCTTTCCCATCTCAAAAAGCTGAAAGTGTGCAAAATAAAATAAAAATAGGGCATTATAAATATAGCTATAGAAGTATATGCATTGTGAGCAAGGAGAAGGTATTGGCTAGCTAAGAGTTAAACACATAGCCCTGGGCAAATGAAGATACAGCAGGCACAGAGGGTACACAGCTGCTGAATCCTGCCGCTTGCTGCCAGTCCAAAGTGACTAATGTAGCAGCACAAAGCAGAGCATTCCAAAAAAATCATTTAGCAAATTAGTTTTCTCCTCCGATTCCTCTGGCCGTGGTGTGCTGTAAATCAAAGATACTATAATCCGATTATCAGATCCATTTATGTGATTAGATTTTCAGGTTAGAACTGCTGCTGCAGAATTGAATTTGCTAAAAAGCCAATGACAATTTGAATGGGAAGTGAGGGATGCGGGGAAACAAAAAACAATCACAGGGTAAATGTTTGGGGGCAGAAGAGGCTGGAATGTGCTAGACATTAAGTTAACATTGACAGTAATACAGCGTATTGATGAGCATTAGTAATGGTGCACTGAATATACCCCTGGAGCAGAGAGTGTCCTGATCAATTGTCATTAGCCGCCCGGCAGCAAAAATAATTATAGAGCAACTCCAAATCATGAGAACACGATCGCAAAATTAGAGCAAAACCAGACCAACAGGGAAATAAGCAGTTGGTATATTTCTACAGAACATACAAAGAATTTTGTTGGTAACCTTACAGTTTGAAGCAATATCTCATTGCTCCTCAAAAGTGAGGAAATTAAAGTGATATTAAAGATTGACATTTAAAAAAAAATAACATATACTTACCTGTTGTGTGCAGTGGTTTTGCACAGAGCAGCCTCAATCCTCCTCTTCTCGTGTCCCCCAGCGGTGCTCCTGGCCCTTCCCTCCTGTCAAACCGATTGCCCCCATATCCACTGTTCTGTCTGTCCATTCACACACAGAGCACGGCTCAGCCTGCCTCCACTCTCACCTCATTGGCTGCGATTGACAGTAGCTGGAGCCAATGGCACCGCTGCTGTGTCTCAGCCAACAAGGAGAGAGAAACTCCAGAGAGCTGCTGCTCTTGTGCACATTGCTGGATTGGAGGGGGCTCAGGCGAGTATTGGGTGGGTGCTGCTGTACACAGCATTCTATGGATGAAGGTAATAAACCTTCAGCCTTTACAACCACTTTAAAAGCAATTGTCTCATGTAGACGTACATACCTCATGTCAAACCAAAGAAAGTGTAAAAAGATAAAAATGATTGCTTGTTGCACAAAGAGATTCTAACATGGCCTATATATTACTGTATCAAAATGATATTTCAAGCCAGCTGTTTTCTGTAATTAGTATTGCACATCATTAATCTTGTCATCAGTCAGACTATTTATTTGGAGAAAAGTAGTCACTCTGCCTGGTATCATCATATGCACCACACTGAACATGGACCAATTATAGACCAGCATTTGAAAGGTAAAGGACCAATCTCCAAGCAGGTTGATGTTCCTCTGGCTACAGTTACAAATGTAATTAGGATGTTTAAGGTCCACAGAATTGTAGCCAACCTCCCTAGATGTGGCCACAAGAGGAAGGTTGACCCCATATTAAAGGATACCCTGAAAACCCATCTCTTCAGGGAAGCCTACCCCGCCCTCAACTAACTGCCGATCTCCTCCACTCTTCCTACCACTCCATCCCCCACTGCTATTTCCTCCTGTACCACTATCCCCTCCCTCCTAGATTGTAAGCTCCAAGGAGCAGGGCCCTCAAACCCCTCGTGTATTGTATTGTTACTGTACTGTCTCATGTACTGTCCCCCATTATAATGTACAGTGCTGAGCAAACTGTTGGCGCTATATAAATCCTGTATAATAATTATAGTGTGAATGGTAGACAAGAGCAAAGAAAAAAAAAAAAACTTACAAGGAGACACAAGCTGAACTTCAAGGTCAAGGTACATCAGTGTCTGATTGCACCATCCATAACTTTTTCAGTGACAGTGAGCTCAAAAGGTTAAGGGTTTAGGTGCTTGCCTGCAGTGGTTATTTAATGCATGGTTATAAAACTACAATTGTATTAGGGCCCATGTACACTGCAGCTGATAAACACACGTTTTAGGAGCCGTTCAGCATTTTTTTCAGCAGTCCCTGAACTCACCCTAATGTTTTCCTATGTGTTCATGTAAACATCTTTGTTTGCAGGCATTTGAGTTTACAGTAGTTTTCTTGAACGCAGAAAACTTGCATTCAGCAGTCGATTTTATCAGCGTTTCAAATGCAAAATGCTTGTAAACACGGCAAAATCAAGTTTATAAGCGTTTGCATCTGAATTTTTTTTTTTTTTTTTTTTTTAACTCTTCCAGTTTCTGATGCTGTCCAGAGCCTTTTTTCATCATGAAAAATGGATGCAAAGCATTTTCAAGGTACTCAGATGGACAAAACACTGAACACAGGATGTTCCTACCAAGCTTGTTACACATTGCAATGACCAATTCAGACCTCAGACCTCTCCCACCCTTGGAAACAAAAGATATGTTAATGACCATTCACATCTAAAATTCCTCATGAATCAGGTGGCCTTACTGACTCACTCCACCAGACACCTTTCCCACCATTGGAAACAAAAGAAATGTTAATGAGCAACTCACACCTAAGCCAAGTTCAACACATACGGCTGTCTCTGCTTCTACTCTCTGTATTTCTCTGAAACAGTCTGAAATAGTTAATAATTTACCACTTTTCAGTACATTCTGGGCATTTGGGAGGTTCTCCTGTGCTTATCTTTAAAAAAACGCTTCTAAATGCAAACGCACATAAACGCATTATGCAAATGCAGCTAAACAGACAGTTTTTAACCTACGTTTTCCAGCAGTCATTCAGAAGTGTCCTGTGTACATGGGGCCTTAGGCTGCAAGCATTCTTAATCCTATAACCAAATATGAACAAATGTATTATGGTGAACCAGTTGTGTCAGTGTACCATTTTTTCCTGAGACTCCACCAGATGGACAGTCATTCCTTTTGTGCTCAAAAGAATTGAAAGTGTTACTAAACCCAGGACTCTGCATTCGCTATTATCTGGTCTCCCACAGTACACAGAACATGGAAACGCAATTATTTCACTAAATATAACACTGTTAAATACCTTTTCTCATGAGCAGTTAGAGTAGTCTTGTGACTTCTATCAGTGTCCAGCAGAGCACTGGTTACAGCTTGTAGGAGAAGTTTTAATTCTCCCATAATTGTCCTTTGAGGCTGCAGGACCCCTGATTCTGGTGCCACCCTCTCCATCAAGAAAGAAGCAGAGGAGGTCCCTCCGCTGAGCTCTTCAGCATTGTGTGTGGATAACCTCAGATATTGCTATTGTAATCAAAGCTCAGTAGCAATCCATCTGCAACCTTTGAGAAGAGGACTTGCACTTGACATCTGCTAGCTTGAAACTGGTCAATATGACATTTTTATGTGCAATATTTAAGTGATATTCAACCCTATTCTATAAGCGATTTCAGCATTCCAAGTAAACCTTTACATTGTTCGCCCCTTTTTTGTATTATAAGCTTTCATGTTTTAGCTGGTTCTCTGTCTGCTGGTTTCACTTCACAGTTACAGGGTAGCTCAATTGCCTTGCAGGGCCATACGGAGCAACCATTCTGGGCCTAATTCCAGGGAAAGACTAGAGGCTGAAGTGAGGAGACTACCTGCACAAGTAGCCCTAAAGGACAAAGCACAGAAGACACCCCTACTGGGCAGCACTGCTGTCAATTATTTCCCTTAGAAAAAAAGAGGCATGTCTTCTGTGTGTAGTCCAAGCCACC